TAGGTGCTTGTCCAGTGCCAGCTTGAAGACTGCCAGGGGTCTGTTGGTAATCCCCTTATGTGTGCTGGGAGGCAGTTGAAACAGTCTCGGGCCCCTGACACTTATTGTATGTCTCTAACGTGCTAGTGACACCCTGCTTTTCATTGGGGGGATGGTTGCATCGTCTGCCAAGTCTTTTTGCTTTCGTAGTGAGTGATTTTCGTGTGCAGTTTGGTACTAGTCCCTCTAGGATTTTCCGGTGTATATAATCATGTATCTCTCCCCTCCTGCGTTCCAGGGAATACAGGTTTAGAAACCTCAAGCGCTCCCAGTAATTGAGGTGTTTTATCTCCGTTATGCGCGCCGTGAAAGTTCTCTGTACATTTTCTAGGTCGGCAATTTCACCTGCCTTGAAAGGTGCTGTTAGAGTGCAGCAATATTCCAGCCTAGATAGAACAAGTGACCTGAAGAGTGTCATCATGGGCTTGGCCTCCCTAGTTTTGAAGGTTCTCATTATCCATCCTGTCATTTTTCTAGCAGATGCGATTGATACAATGTTATGGTCCTTGAAGGTGAGATCCTCCGACATAATCACTCCTAGGTCTTTGACGTTGGTGTTTCGCTCTATTTTGTGGCCAGAATTTGTTTTGTACTCCTGATGAAGATTTAATTTCCCCATGTTTACCATATCTGAGTAATTGAAATTTCTCATCGTTGAACTTCATATTGTTTTCTGCAGCCCACTGAAAGATTTGGTTTGATGTCCGCCTGGAGCCTTGCAGTGTCTGCAATGGAAGACACTGTCATGCAGATTCGGGTGTCATCTGCAAAGGAAGACACGGTGCTGTGGCTGACATCCTTGTCTATGTCGGATATGAGGATGAGGAACAAGATGGAGCTAGTTACTGTGCCTTGTGGGACAGAGCTTTTCACCGTAGCTGCCTCGGACTTTACTCTGTTGACGACTACTCTCTGTGTTCTGTTAGTGAGGAAATTATAGATCCATCGACCGACTTTCCTGTTATTCCTTTAGCGCGCATTTTGTGCGCTATTACGCCATGGTCACACTTGTCGAAGGCTTTTGCAAAGTCTGTATATATTACATCTGCATTTCTTTTGTCTTCTATGCATTTAGGACCTTGTCGTAGTGATCCAGTAGTTGAGACAGACAGGAGCGACCTGTTCTAAACCCATGTTGCCCTGGGTTGTGTAACTGATGGGTTTTCTAGATGGGTGGTGATCTTGCTTCTTAGGACCCTTTCAAAGATTTTTATGATATGGGATGTTAGTGCTATTGGTCTGTAGTCTTTGCTGTTGCTTTACTGCCCCCTTTGTGGAGTGGGGCTATGTCTGTTGTTTTTAGTAACTGAGGGACGACCCCGTGTCCATGCTCCCTCTCCATAGGATGGAAAAGGCTCGTGATAGGGGCTTCTTGCAGTTCTTGATGAACACAGAGTTCCATGAGTCTGGCCCTAGGGGCAGGTGCATGGGCATGTCATTTATCGCCTGTTCGAAGTCATTTGCGTCAGGATAACATCGGATAGGCTTGTGTTAGTCAAATTTTGTGCTCTCTCATAAAAAATTCATTTTGGTCTTCGACTCTCAGTCTGGTTAGCGGCTTGCTAAAAACTGAGTCATATTGGGACTTGAGTAGCTCACTCATTTCCTTGCTGTCATCTGTGTAGGACCCATCTTGTTTAAGTAGGGGCCCAATACTGGACGTTGTTCTCGATTTTGATTTGGCATAGGAGAAGAAATACTTTGGGTTTCTTTCGATTTCATTTATGGCTTTTAGTTCTTCCCGCGATTCCTGACTCCTAAAGGATTCTTTTAGCTTAAGTTCGATGCTTGCTATTTCTCTGACCAGTGTCTCCCTGCGCATTTCAGATATATTGACCTCTTTTAGCCGCTCTGTTATTCTTTTCCGTCGCCTGTAAAGGGAGCGCCTGTCTCTTTTCTATTTTACATCTACCCCTTTCCTTTTTCTTAGAGGAATAAGCCTTGTGCATACATCGAGTGCCACCGAGTTAATCTGTTCTAGGCATAAGTTTGGGTCTGTGTTGCTTAGTATATCTTCCCAGCTTATATGGGTTTTGGGACTTGGTTTACTTGGTCCCACTTTATGTTTTTGTTATTGAAGTTAAAATTTGGGTGAATGCTCCCATGACTAGTCTCATTTTGTCGGTCTGGGCTCCATGCATACATGTCGAACCTCAATTATGTTGTGATCTGAGTATATTGTTTTGATATGGTGACATTTCTTATCAGATCATCAATGTTAGTGAAGATGAGGTCTAGTGTATTCTCCAGTCTTGTAGGCTCAAATTATTTGCGGGTTTAAATTGAATTTTGTGCAGAGATTTAAAAGCTCGTGTGGTGTGAGTTTTCATCAGAGCTGCCCCCTGGTGTTATTTCTGCAACAATATTATTTGCTATATTCCTCCTTTTTTAGGTGCCTTAAGTTGAAATCCCCCAGGAGCAAGATGTTGGGTGCAGGAGCTGGAAGTTTTTTCCAGACAGTGGTCAATTTTTAACAGCTGTTCCTGGAATTGCTGGGATGTTGCATCCGGAGGCTTGTAGACTACCACAATGACTAGGTTTTGGTTCTCGACCTTTACTGCTAAAACTTCCACTACGTCATTTGAGGCATTAAGCAGTTCTGTGCAAACAAGTGACTCTGCAATGTACAGGCCAACCCCCCCCTTTTGCCTGTTCACTCTGTCACATCTGTATAGGTTGTAACCTGGGATCCATACTTCGTTGTCCCAGACATTTGCAACACACGACCTCACATACCCTGGGTGGGGCTCTGTCATTTTGTTGGTGCCATCTTGTTATTAACAGTTGTCACCACCAGATCTATGTGCATTACATTACAGTACTCACTCTGATTACTGTGCATTTTGTGCTTATTTTCTGCTCTGTGGTGGGAAGATATCGCTGAAAATGTCAAAAAAGGCCTGCAGATAACCCTATGGGTAAGTGATAAAAAAATATATTATAAAATAGCCCTTTAATAAAAATACAGCATCATAAGTGGAGATTGAGATTGCTGTTGTCCTTAAACAGTTGATGCAGGTATTCTGCCAATGCTGCTTTTATTAAAAATATGGTATAAAACTATGTTCAGCCTATATGTATAAGCTCTATATAAAATATATATGGATTTTGTGTTTAGACTTGGGTCCCATCCCCAAGCTATTTCATATTTCAAAATCCAAAAAATTCCGAAATCTGAGATACATTCGGACCCAAGCATTTCAGATAAAGGATACTCAATCTGAAATAATAATACTACAAATAATAATGATAATAATATTTTTTGTTCCTCAAAATATTCTCGCCATCTACCTAATACCTCCCTCTCCCCATCTACTAAATCCCTACTCTGTTTTTAACTGACAAATCCATACTTTCCCTAGGCTTTCTTAACTTGTTTAACTCACTCCAAAAATTTTTTTTTATTTTCATTAAAATTTCTTGACAGTGCCTCTCCCACTCTTTCATCTGCTCTCCTTTTTCACTCTCTCACCACTCTCTTCACCTTTCTTTTACTCTCCATATACTCTGCTCTTCTTTATAACACTTCTGCTTTGTAAAAACCTCTCGTAAGCTACCTTTTTCTCTTTTATCACACCCTTTAACTTTTAAATGTTAAGGAAGAAAGGGAGGCGGTAATTTCATGCACTGGCCAGGGAGGTATACCCCTCTTTTAGGAGTGAAGAAGAGCAGAATGTAAGTGTGGTGGAGGTACGTGAGGCATTACGTAGAATGAAAGGGGGTTAAAGTAGCTGGAACTGATGGGGTCATGACAGAAATGTTAAAGCAGGGGGGGAAAATAGTGTTGGAGTGGTTGGTACTTTTGTTTAATAAATGTATGAAAGAGGGGAAGGTACCTAGGGGTTGGCGGAGGACATGTATAGTCCCTTTATATAAAGGGAAAGGGGACCCAAAAAAGATTGTAAAAATTATAGAGGAATAAGTTTACTGAGTATACCAGGAAAAGTATACGGTAGGGTTATAATTGAAAGAATTAGAGGTAAGACAGAATGTAGAATTGCGGACGAGCAAGGAGGCTTCAGAGTGGGTAGGGGATGTGTAGATCAAGTTTTTTACATTGAAGCATATATTTGAACAGTATTTAGATAAAGGTAGGGAAGTTTTTATTGCATTTATGGATTTAGAAAGGCATATGATAGAGTGGATAAGAGGAGCAATGTGGCAGATGTTGCAAGAATATGAAATAGGTGGTAATTTTACTAAATGCTGTAAAGAGCTTTTATGAGGATAGTGAGGCTCAGGTTAGGGTGTGTAGAAGAGAGGGGGGAATACTTCCCGGTAAAAGTAGGTCTTAGACAGGGATGTGTAATGTTCACCATGGTTGTTTAATATATTTATAGATGGGGTTGTAAAAGAAGTAAATGCTAGGGTGTTCGGGAGAGGGGTGGGATTAAATTATGGGGAAATCAAATTCAAAATGGGAATTGACACAGTTACTTTTTGCTGATGATACTGTGCTTATGGGAGATTCTAAAAAAAAATTACAAAGGTTAGTGGATGAGTTTGAGAATGTGTGTAAAGGTAGAAAGTTGAAAGTGAACATAGAAAAGGTAAGGTAATGAGGGGATCAAATGATTTAGATAAAGAAAAATTGGATATCAAATTGGGGAGGAGGAGTATGAAGAAGTGAATGTTTTCAGATACTTGGGAGTTGACGTGTCGGCGGAAAGGATTTATGAAGGATGAGGTTAATCATAGAATTGATGAGGGAAAAAAGGTGAGTGGTGCGTTGAGGTATATGTGGAGTCAAAAAACGTTATCTATGGAGGCAAAGAAGGGAATGTATGAAAGTATAGTAGTACCAACACTCTTATATGGATGTGAAGCTGGGGGTAAATGCAGCAGCGAGGAGACGGTTGGAGCAGTGGAGATGTCCTGTCTAAGGGCAATGTGTGGTGTAAATATTATGCAGAAAATTCGGAGTGTGGAAATTAGGAGAAGGTGTGGAGTTAATAAAAAGCATTAGTCAGAGGGCAGAAGAGGGGTTGTTGAGGTGGTTTGGTCATTTAGAGAGAATGGATCAAAGTAGAATGACATGGAAAGCATATAAATCTATAGGGGAAGGAAAGAGGGGTAGGGGTCGTCCTCGAAAGGTTGGAAAGAGGGGGTAAAGGAGGTTTTGTGGGTGAGGGGCTTGGACTTCCAGCAAGCGTGCATAAGCGTGTTAGATAGGAGTGAATGGAGACGAATGATACTTGGGACCTGACGATCTCGTTGGAGTGTGAGCAGGGTAATATTTAGTGAAGGGATTCAGGGAAACCGGTTATTTTCATATAGTCGGACTTGAGTCCTGGAAATGGGAAGTACAATGCCTGCACTTTAAAGGAGGGGTTTGGGATATTGGCAGTTTGGAGGGATATGTTGTGTATCTCTATATGTATATGCTTCTAAACTGTTGTATTCTGAGCACCTCTGCAAAAGCAGTGATAATGTGTGAGTGTGGTGAAAGTGTTGAATGATGATGAAAGTATTTTCTTTTTGGGGATTTTCTTTCTTTTTTTTGGGTCACCCTGCCTCGGTGGGAGACGGCCGACTTGTTGAAAAAAAAAAAAAAAAAAAAAAAAAAAAAAAAAAAAAAAAAAAAAAAAAAATAGTTTTTGCTATTAATACTACAAAGCAATGAATTTGTCTTTAATATTTCTCAATAATTCAACGATCTTAACTCTGGGATCCATTTTATTGCAGATCTCTAAGCTTGTTACATCTAAATATTTAAGTAGAGAATGGACACTGCACTACAGCATCATAATCTAATTTTTTCTAGTGTTTATGATCTACCTAGGTAGTAGGTTGGTAAACAGCAACTGCCCACTGAGGTACTACCGTCCTGCCAAGTGAGTGTACAACGAAAACCTGCAATTGTTTTACATGATGGTAGGATTGCTGGTGTCTTTTGTCTGTCTCATAAACATGCAAGATTTCAGGTATGTCTTGCTACTTGTACTTACACTTAGGTCACACTAAACATACATGTACAAGCATATACATACACACCCCTCTGGGTATTCTTCTATTTTCTTTCTAGTTCTTGTTCTTGTTTATTTCCTCTTATCTCCATGGGGAAGTGGAACAGAATTCTTCCTCCGTAAGCCATGCGTGTTGTAAGAGGCGACTAAAATGCCGGGAGCAATGGGCTAGTAACCCCTTCTCCCGTATAAATTACTAAATTTAAAAGAGAAACTTGCGTTTTTCTTTTTGGGCCACCCCGCCTTGGTGGGATACGGCCGATGTGTTGAAAGAAAGAAAGAAAGTCTATGATCTAACTTTTTTTGAACTTTGTCATCAAAATATTTGAAAATTATTTTCAAGCTTGCAAGAAGAGTATAAGTCTCTCGTGACTTCATATATATAGTTTTTATTGTGATAAATTTGCAACAGAGCCTAAAGCCAAACTTCCTTGTTGACTGCCTGATCAAGCAGGCTGTTCCAGCGAACAGTCTGCCATCCCACGACCATCATAACTTGGCTGATCTGGCACTTATTCCAAGAAGTGGTCCAGTTTCCTCTTCTTTTATTTATACAATTTTGTCAGTATTTTATCGCACATTTATAATCTTCATGAGGCCTGCTGCAACTTTCACCAATTTCTAATAGTGACATTTACTTTACATTTAAGAACACCATCTCTTTTTGGGTCATTTAAATCATATCATGTGTATGAGTTGTGTGATTCAAGTACCTGTTTGTATTTACTGTATATAATTATTTTTATAATCGAAAACCAGTTCTAAACCATAATTTTCCGTTACATCCTTACAGATAATTTTGTCTTGCATTAACTCCCCACCCCCTACTAACCTCTACCTTCACACATCCTATCCCTCGCTCATTCCTACTTTTGCACATCCATTCCTGCAGCACTGTTAAGACACGGGTTCAGTACTTAACACTGGACCCGTAAGTGTCACAGAATCCTATTTTTAGTATTTAGCTTGTTGTGTAATTATTTATTTTCCACTGGCTGTAGCATATACTGTACAATTACTCATTTGTGATTAAGGTATCTCTTTTGTGTGGATCTGCCTGCCTCTTTGTCCATGAGAATGCACAAAAATACAAGACTTTGAGCTGCAGTCAGCAATGAATAAAACTGAGCTTATGTAATGCTACATACATAGTAATATGAAAGTACTATTATACTTTTTTCTTTTTTGCAGAGTACTTTTTCATTACTGGTATGCCCAAAAACCATATACATATTGAGACAGTCAAAACATGTTGGTTTCTAGTACATGCTGTGGTGTTATAGTCAACAAAGAGCATGGGGGCATTGTGTTGATTATATCATAAAATATATTATTCCTTAAAAACTTCATATGTACCACAAACAAATTAGTGAAAATTGTTGGCATTCAAAGTTACAAATATACAGATGTCACTACTGGGAATTTCAGGATGAAATAAATGTGGTTGCTAAAGAAATTTGTGTTTCTCTGCAAGGTTTTTATGACAACCACATCAATAATTTTTTTATTATTGCACATTTGATCTAATTTTTACTTAATTACTGAATAAACACCTTACATAATTCATTGCTAAAATTAATGAAAGTAAATATTATTCATTAAAATTCCACAGTGTTTACTTCAAGAATTAATGAAAATTCTTTTCCCAACAGTAGGTTTTACTTGTAACTTGGACTTTTTATGGAATCTTTTCTTCAAAAAATCCCTATATCTGAATATAAGTGAGCATGAATATGTATATGTTATATACTACACTGGATATCTGTATGGCAGTTTCACTGAACATGGTATAAAATGTGTGACTTGAAACAGCCTTTTTCAGAACTGGCAAAGAAATAAATCAGTATTGAATTAGTCAATCACACAATTTAAAAAATTCTTTAGAGAAGCAACAAAACTGAAAAATGATAATGATTGGTGTATCATTTTCTGATATGAAAATAAAAAAATGACTGTGGAAAAAGATGCATAGCAAATGAAGGCCTTTTATTATTATGATGTCTTGCCATCAACAGTCATGAGAATAAAAGGTTTTGTTTTGTTATATGCGTGTCTTTTCTGTTACCTGTTGACTCTCCGTCACACTAAATACATAACACATTATAGTAATAAGTAGAATAGAATATAGCGGGAGTTCAAAATAAGAGATAACATCAAATATAACTTGATGAGATATGCATGAACAATTAATCTGCATGGCAACTAGGTTTTATGAAGTACATATATAATAAATACTAAAATTACCCTCAACACAGGAGACAGCATTACTGATATAGATAAAACTAAAGTTTCAGTATTTAAAGTTTAACTCAAGTTTTAGTATGAATCCTGAATATAAAATAAATAAAATTTCTGTAAAACTTAAAAGGAAAGCTGCCAATTTTTTTTTTTGAATTGTAAAAATTGACTTTCAAGAATTTTTATTTTCAAAAATAAGTGTAACAAATTTCAAATATACAGTAGTAATATAGGAAAAATATATATGTCTCTTTTGGAAGAACAAATGCCTGACAGACTTTTGTAAAGTGGACGACCAAAGCAAATATCAGCTTTATTTTTGATACAGTACAGCATGTGGTTTCTAGTTAAAAATCTAGGTCACAAATAACAATGACAACCTCTGCAGCTTACTCATATTTGGTAAATTTTTTTAAGACTGCTTAAAGATTTCTTTTATCCCAAACATTATTATGACTTAAGATTTCACAAGCTAGGCCTTCCTCCTCACCACCAGGTTCCAACAACATAGGCCATCTGTGTTCTTCAAGATTTGGCATGTAATTTTCAGAAAGAAATCTAGGCCCAAGATCACCGATGATGGAATCTGTCTCCCTCTTGCTTGGTCACCCGACGATATACTTCCTCTGGCAGATTATCAGGGTCAGATAAAACATTTGTGGAAGTACTTAGTTTGCGCATTGAGCTGGATACCACTGCAAAGAAAAAAACTTAATTAAAAATGACCTAGAAAAAAACTACTCTATATCCAAATTTGTGTAAAGTTTAACTCTTTTGTCAAGTTTAGCTAACAAGTTCCGAAGTAAGGTCATCACCTGTTCTATATGAGGCATAATGAGACTAAATCACTATAAATGTGACTACAAATATTAAAAAAAATATCAGTCAAATACATGTATTAACAAAACAGGAATTCTCAAGTCCTTTAATGAGTTTACAAACATTTTCCCTAGTTGCTTAAACAAACAAAAAACTTCAGTGTTTGTATTTTGTTAATTTTTTCACACTACTTAACACAATACACCCTCTCCTCACTTAACAACGGAGTTCTGTTACTGACACCATGTCGTTAAAAAAATTTGTCGCTAAGTGAGGAGCATATTATAATGGTAGTGTGAGTCAACTATCTTTAATATTGTTTTATGTCACCTTTGCACCATTTATAACATTTTTGGTATATTTTTATTTAAATGTTTTTACAGTAGTGTACTGTATATTGAAATAAACAGAATAGAGGAAATCAGCTTTAATATACATTACTCAGGCATGAATACTGGTCAAAGAGCCTGTTGTAAGTCCAAGGTGTCGGTAAATGTTGCGATTTATGCCCATGCACGACATTTTATATTTCAGAAATATTCCAGTTACGTGGTTTCACTTTCTTTACTAGTAACTAAAGTAAAGATTTCCAACTTTATATTATTATCTGATGCCACATGTATCATGATACTAGGATATTGCTCTTTATTTTTAATATAAATATTAGAATTAATATATATGTATAGAAATAGGAAAAGTAGAAAACTAGTTAATAATGAAAGAGGATGCAATCTCTAGTTAAAAGACCGGTCGCTAGTTATGCTGCCGGCTGGATTCAAAGCTTTTGTCATGTGATCAACCTGACATGAGAGTTACTGGTCGTTGACACAAGCAGTAGGTTTACCCACTCACTCCCGAGTAGTCCTGCCATGTACTCTCACACTTAGCACTAAACCCTTGTTGCCACTGGAGTTTTTCCCTAGACAAAGCCCTTACACAAACTGGTTCCACAAGATTTAATCAGTGGAACATTCTTGCCCCTCCATACGCAACAGTAAACAAGTACGTACGTTGCTAAGTGAGGAGAGGCTGTAGTCAGTAGTAGCACACTTGGCAGCATGGTGAAAACCTAGCACATAATACCGACAAGTTATGGTTAAAGACATGTGAGTGAACACTTTGACCTTTTATTATGGAAATGTTTTGGTCCAGGGACCTTGTCCACTTCATACTTGGTTTTGAAGAAAACAATAGGTTGATATAGGGAATGGTACACATGAGGTAGGCTGGAGTTTAGTGAGATCACTTGAGCTGAACAGTTGTGAAATTACCAAGCAGAGTCATAGGGTAGCTTTAAAATATGTTGGCAAAATATATGAGAAGAATCTGCCTAGAATGAGCCAACAGATCTACAGCAGCATCTCTTCATTTACATATTTCAACTGATGGCTATGTCTCAAGGTGTGTAGGGCAATGTGTGTTCAAGAAGCATGTGTGCCAATGTGGTAGATAAAGTATACCATCCTGTTTTTCGATCTATAGTGTTTGTTACTGCAATCAGAGATGCTTCTGAACAACGGCATCTGATCATCATGGAGTCACATTGAAGGAGACATCGGTGTTAAGAAGCATCCCTAATTGTGGTAACAAATACTTTAGAGGAGAAAGCAGGATGTTACATCTCCCACATGGGCACACGTGTTTTTCAAACTTGTACTGAACTGCCCATCTCAAGACAGCCATCAAATGAAACAGTTGAATGAATAAGTCCTGCAGTAGGTCTGCTGGCCCATGCTAGGAAAACCCTTCACAAATATTTCACCAACTTATTTTAAAGCTACTCAATGATACCACTTGGTGATCTCACAAGTGTTCAGTTCACCTGACCTTTCTAAACTCCACTTGGTGACTCACAAGTGTTCAGCTCACATGACCTCACTAAACTCCAGCCTACCTCACCTCTACCATTACTACCCACTCCTTCTCTCTATTAGTCAGTTAAAGCAAGGGTTGACTGTATTTTGTAAATGATCAACTGGAAAGAAAAAAAAATAAACAGGATTTGGTAACATACATGGTCGAAGGACGTTAAGAGAACACTGTTGATCGAGCCAAGCAAGGGAGGAACGGCAAAGGTCATCTAAGCAGCTGGTGCTGACACTGCTGTTGTAAGACTCTAGCAAAGGTTCTGTGATCAGAGAAAATATCCAAAATTTCCAGTTAGCTAATGTGCGTTCACGAACGTAGTTATTAAACATCTCCTTGAGCTTGCTGTAACGAGCATGTGTCATGGGAGCTCCGGTGGCTGGTAGCAAAGCTTGAGCATTGCTGGAAGTAAATAAAATTTTGGCATTAATTTCTCTTAAATTTAAAAGCAGGCTTTCAGTTATGACATCTTTAATAGAAGAAAATTTGTTTTGAAATAAGTCTCTCTTCCCTAAAAATATTGGCACCTAACAGTCACCCTGCTTTGGTGGGCAATGGCACTTGATAAAAAAAAATTAGAAAATGTACAAGGAAAAAATATTTACCTAATTTCACAACACAGAACATCTATCTGAGCTCGAAGTTTCTCTGCTTGTTCTGTTAACTGCTGTCTCTCGGATTTCAACTGATGGATATATTCTGCTCCTTTCTGCAACATTACTGCTTTACTGATCTGGAGGAAAAATTAAGAAAAAATTAAAATAAATTCAATTACAGATTTACTTGTTTTCTTCTAGAACAAATAGTGAATCAGAGCATACAATTGTGAAAGTATTATAATGTTAAACAACATTCATAGAAATATTAGCTTACAGTACATGCATAACTAAAAAAGTACAACATCCCTATATACCAGATCCAGGTTTTTGTCAGTATAGAAATATTACAGACAGAATACCATAATAGGTGCACCAGAAGAATAAATTAGACAACTTAATATTCCTTAATAATCAAGGTTTTCAGATAAGACAATGCTTACCTTGGCATTAGCATTTTGATTAATGGAAGGAATAAGCTGGTGCATAATATCAAAGTTATTTTTCAAATTTGAGCGACGTTTCTGCTCTGCATTTATGTGACAAACTCTGCGGTGTTCTTTATACTGGACTCGTTCTAAATCACTCTTGATTCTGCGAAAACATATATACACTTAGGTCAGACTAAACATACATTTCTTTCTTTCATTTAACACACCGGCCGTATCCCACTGAGGCAGGGTGGCCCAAAAGGAAAAACAAAAGCTTCTCCTTTTACATTTAATAATATATGCAGGAGAAGGGGTTACTAGTCCCTTGCTCCGGCATTTTTAGTCGC